TCTATCTGGGTTGCAGGTTTGATCCTTCCTCTGTTGGGCTGTGGTGGGAAGCAACCTGTATGCCTCTTCCACACTGATGTTTCTCTCTTCTCTCTCTCCCTTCCCACACCCTTCTATTCTCTTTCAAAAAATAAATGGAAAAAATATCCTCACTCCCTGGGTGAGAATTAAAACTAATAATAATAAAAAGTAAAGCTACATTGTAAATGCAACTGATTCACACATGGTCCGTGAAGAAAATTCTCCATCATTCTCTTTACACATGTCCTCATGCACAAACATGATTATTTTATCCTAAACCAATTGAGAGTGCGTTGTATGCATTATGTCTGTTTCTTCAGGCTGCCAGAAGACTGGCTGGCTTAAACAACAGACATTTATTTCTTCTGGTTCTGGAGGCCAGGAAGACTTGATTCTTGGTGAGGGTCCTCTTCTTGGCTTGTAGAGGTCCTCTCATAGCGCGCTCACATGGAATTTCCTCAGTGGAGATCTTTGCTTATTCTTCTTAAAGGGCCTTAATCATATCATGACATAATTTGTACCTAATCTGAACCTAATTATCTCCCTAGGGCTCAGGAATAATCTTTTTAGGTTCAGTGTTCAATGCTCTGCTCTGGACCTTTTGAAGTATGGAGGTCATGTGTTGTCCCAGCCTTCTCAATTCCTCATGCTCCAGGCTGTCAGTCTGAGTCTCTGAACTGTTGAATCTGAGGTGAATTCCCCCTAGAACCCAATAATCTCTGAATCAACTTTATAGCCATTTTTGTTGTTATTGTTAATTTTTACCCGAGGATATTTTTACCATTGACTTTTTTTAGAGAGTGGTAGGGTGGGAGAGGAAGAGAGAGACATTGATGTGAGAGAGACAAAGTGATCGGTTGCCTCCCCTATGCACCCCAACTGGAGCAGGGGATCAGATCTGTCACCCAATATGTGCCCTTGACCAGGAATGGAACCCATGACTTTTCAGTGCATGGGTCGACGCTCTATCCAGTGAGTAACACTGGCCAGGGCTGGAGTCACTATTTCCTTGTCTTGAAAATAGTGCACATTCACAGCCAGAATAGCTCTGTGGTCCAATGCTGTAGGACCTAAGAATTCCTAGCAACCCTTTATCTATAACACTTGGTATGGAGCATCGGACAGTTCCACAAGGTTTGTTTTCAGATATACAAAGTCTTCTGCTCTCTTCTACCATATTCTTCATCTTCAGAGATAACTAATTTATATTTTAGCAGATTCTTTTAACATTTACCTCCATAATCTAACATGTTTATATTACTGCTTCTTGACTTTCCAGTATTGGACACTAGTCATTGACTTATTAGATTTTCATTCCTCATGGAGGAGGATTCTTTTTGGAAAGACTGTGGCAAGAAGTTTAGTGTGACTGGAAGGATAATTGAGTGTGGGGAGAGTATTGCAGTAGCTCACTGAAGGAAGAGGTATTGAGGTTTTGTTTTTAAATTGAGGAGCAATATACATTCAGTTAAGTGCATAATATGTGCTAGCTGTACAATTCCATGATTTTTTACCTGTATGTATACTGTGTCTCCAATACTTCCCTCAAGATGTAGGACATTCGCAGTCTCTTTAAAATTCCTTGGTGCCCCACAAGAAAGTTTTGAATTAAGGCATGAAAATTCATTACTAGTTCTAGGTGGAAACCAGAAGATAAGGTGGAGCTAAAGATGACTCCAGACTTGGGAGACTGGGTTGACTGGATGGTGATTCTGTCAACTAGGTAGGTAATACAGGAGAGAGGAGGTCAGGTTTGAATTTAGGGAGGAGTTAAGATGGTGAGATAAATTCAGCTTCAGAGTTGTTGATTTTGGCATATCCAAGTGGAGCTAGATAGGAGGCTGGTAGAAATTTAGAGTTTGGGGGGTTGGGGGTGGGGGAATTGGAGATTAAAATGTAAATTTGCAATTACTCATTAGCATGCCAAGTCCTTTTGAGATCTAACAAGTAGATGAGAATTCTCTAGAGAGTTTGTAGACTGTGAGCTGACCTGAAGTTAGGATGAGAAGAGTATGTTGCTTTTATTAATAACATTTTATCCAAATAGTGAATAAAATCAGTGAAAAAATTTAGTTTAAACATTTAAAAAATAAAAATGATAAACAAAAATTCAATAATATATAGTCTTAGTTAGAAATGAAAAATAAATTGGTTCAGAGGGTTATAAGTAGAAATTATGTTTCCTTCCCCCATTTTACTCCCCACCCCAGTTTCTTGTGTCTCCTTCCAGATGATTTTAATGCATATATATTAAGTTTATGGTTTTATTTTTTGATTATACAGCACCTCATTTTTGCTTTGGTTGTTAGTGACTTAAAAGTATGGTTGGTTGCTTATAGGCATGTGACCAAAAATGGAAGCTAGCAATCTACCAGATACAGAGTTTAAAACACTGGTTATAGGATGCTCAATGAACTTAGGGAAAGAGTAGGTGAACTCAGAGAGAACTTACACACAGAGGGAAACCATAAACAACAACAGTCAGAAGGTGAAGGATATAATAATTGAAATGAAGACTACTTAGATGGAATCAGCAGCAGATTCAGTGACGCCTAAGAATGACCTGAGTTTTTTACTGAGGCCACATTCCAAAAATTCCTTCAGAGTTGAATCTCAATTCCTTCAAATACATTCCATTTTAAAAGGGGCTGCGATAGAATCACATAGTATTTAAAAGCAAACTAATGGTTTAACTTCCTTCTTCCTAGACAGTTCAACCAATTGTTTGCGTTTACTTGGACCTGCTGGTTTGGGTGTGTCTCAAATCCAGGTGGATATCTTTTAAAGAGATCTAACCACAGCATTCCTGGCATAAATGTGTCATACATTTTTTTAGACTTGGGAGCTCTGAAAATTGCCTCACATTTTACTTTTCTGTTCAATTGAGAGAAAATAGTTGAAACAATTTTAGAGTTAAGGAGAGTTGGGTACTGGTATGACAAAATATTTTTAAATGTAGTTTTTTTAAAGTGATGATCAGAATGTTATTTTTCTTGTGTTTTGAATGCTTTTGATTTTGTTTTATTTACCTTAATAGCTTATGTATTATTAACTTTAAAATAATTTTCTGTCTTTAGATATTGGCTCATTGCTAGCTATTCTCTTCTAAACATATTACAACCTTACTTCTGCATAGAAAGTTTAAGTATTAAATATTGATACAATCTCTTGTATCAATATTTAATAATTAATATTAAAGAAGAGATTGATGAAGACTTAAATCAGTTTTACGAATAGTTTTCCTGTTCTTTGGGCAGTCAAATTGAATCAGTACCAATAGATCCCATGTATTATGCCTATCTGTATGTCTTTTCTTTGTCAAATACAACTATTTTTTCCCAAACTGTTCTTAACTTTCTCAAACTAACATTATCAGGATACAATATTCTAAGCCATATTTAGCCCAAGGGTATGTACAATATATATCATATTAGTTTCTACAGATTTGTAAATTTTTATTAATTTGTTCTTATTATATAGTTTACATCAGATCTCTGATCAGGTTACCTGAGAGGGCAAAAATCTTCTCTTCCTTTGGGACTTTTCATAACTCTAGTACATAGCTCACTTGAAAAATATGCTCCTGCTTGGTGTGTGCCTCAGTGATTGAGCGTCAGCCTATGAGCCAGGAAGTCAGGGCTCCATTCTTGGTCAGGGCACATGCCCAGGTTGTGGGCTTGATCCCCAGTGTGGGGCATACAAGAGGCCGGGCAGCTGATCAATGAATCTCTCTCATCATTGATGTCTCTCTCCTTCTCTTCCTTCCTCCCTCTCTTCCTCCCTTCCTCCTTTCTTTTCTTTCTGTAATCAATTAAAAAATGCTCTAGTGAATTTTTTCTGTAAAATAAGATTTCCATTAAAATTGACCAAAAAATAAAAAGCTTTAAGTTATGATATTAAAAGTAAGTGGCTTGGTATCTGTATATTAAAATTCAGGTCCCACCAAAGCCGGTTTGGCTCAGTGGATAGACTGTCGGCCTGCGGACTGAAGGGTCCCGAGTTTGGTTCGGGTCCGGTCAGGGGCATGTACCTTGGGTGTGAGGGCATCTCCAGTGGGGTGGGGTGTGGTGCAGGAGGCAGCTGATCAATGTTTCTCTCTCATTGATATTTCTAACTCTCTCTTTCCCTTCCTCTTTGTAAAAAATCAATAAAAGATATTTTAAAAATAAATTAAAAAAATAAAATTCAGGTCCCTCAAAGAATGAATGAAACCAGGGATAATCTTATAGCATTTGAATGGACACTTAGATGGAGTTACTGATTTTTTCATGACAGTTACTGATTACTATATCCCTTGCATTGGATTTCACTTTCTCCTTTTACACATTGCTGGACCACTCACAAAAGTAAGCATTGTGTATGTTTTCACAGGGGCCTAATGCTGATGTTTGGAATACTATGATTGAGTCTTTAAGGACATAGAGCAGTAAAACAAATTTATAAATATTTAATTCTAAAACTGAGTTTACTTTTCATCACTTTATTAGCTAATAGACTATTTTTTCAGGATAGGCTTTTTCGGTTGATTTATATTTTTGTTTGCTTCCCCCCCCCCCCCCAATTATGATTTACATTCAATATTATTTTGTATTAGTAGTTAGACAGTCACATACTTTACAAAGTGTTCCCCCCAGTATTTCTTGTTTTCTTTATTAGAACAAAGGAAACTATGTATTCTCCAACAATAGTATTTTAGGGTCTAATTCATGAAATCAAATAATAATAGAAAAGAGTCAGGCATTGTTGTTAGACAGTCTCTCTCCCTCTCTTTTTTTGTTTGCTGTTCATCTCAATTATGTGTAACTTACTTCTCTTGGAAAAAAAGTGATGCCCTGTTTAGATCTTTGTGGGTTTTTTAAACAATTATTTAGAGAATTTCAAAGGTATAGTTATACAAATTTGTGAAGACTGCTTAGATTTTTTTAAATAGAAATCTTTCTTAGTGTTATTGAAGTAAACATTTTAAATCTCTCTTTCAGGTCCATCATGTTACACAAAATGGAGGACTGTATAAAAGACCCTTTAACGAAGCTTTCGAAGAAACCCCAATGCTGGTTGCTGTGCTTACTTATGTGGGGTATGGTGTACTCACCCTCTTTGGATACCTTCGAGATTTCTTGAGGTATTGGAGAATTGAAAAGTGTCACTATGCAACAGAAAGAGAAGAACAAAAGGTAATTGTTAAGAGAATTTTTAATTCTGTGAATGGAAGCCTTTTATAGAAATCTTGGTATTTTCACTCAGTTTTTTTCCTTTATATATTTTGGTACACATTAAAATAAAAATATTCCAGATGCAGTTAAAGTTTTCACAAAGAAAGCTGAAAACAAGGTTAAAGGCATGGAGAAACTAAAGAACTTAACTTTTCTTGCCCTAGCTGGTTTGGCTCAGTGGATGGAGCGTTGGTCAAAGGCACATGTCCAGGTTGTGGGCTCGAATCCCCAGTAGGGGGTGGTCAGGAGGGAGCTGATCAGTGATTCTCTCTCACCATTGATGTTTCTCTCTCCCCCTCTCTCCTTTCCTCTCTGAAATCAATAAAAAATATATATTAAAAAAAAGTACTTAACTTTATTTTCAGTCCTCATCGAGGATATGTTTTTTTCCTTGATGAGAGAGAGAGAGAGAGAGAGAGAGAGAGAGAGAGAGAGAGGGAGGAGGGGAGGGAAGGAGAGGGGAGGGGAGGGGGGAGGAGGGGAGGGGAGGGGGAGAGAGAAACATTAATGTAAGGGAGAAACATTGAGCCTTTGCCTCCAATGTACGCCATGACTTGGGATCAAACCTGAAACTTGGATATGTGTCCAAGTTAAGTAATGTTTTCCTAAGATGCTTAGTTTCAGAACTGGTATGCAGGCACATGTTAGTAAAGAGCCGAAACCCATGTTCTTTCTCTTCACAATACCATATTGTATCCAAAGTTGTGTCCACAGTCACCTGAAAAGATTTTGTTCTTTAGAACTCAGGATGTTTTCTCATAAACACATTATATATAAATGTCTGGTTCACAAATCAGGTCCTGTCCACAAACAAATAAGCAGAATGGCTCAACTACTCTGTTTATAGTAGAAACCACCTTATGTTAGTATTGGTAAACAGCAGTGATAATGTCTCTGGGGAGGAGGACCTAATTCACTTCTCTTTTCTCTGATACTACTTTGCCCCCCCCTAGAGTTTTGTACAATAAACACATGTTACTTATTCTCAAAAAGAAATAAAGTTAGGCTGAAACCGGTTTGGCTTAGTGGTAGAGCGTCGGTCTGCGGACTAAAACGTCCCAGGTTCGATTCCAGTCAAGGGCATGTACCTTGGTTGGGGTCACAACTTCGGTAGGGGGTTTGTAGGAGGCAGCTGATCAATGATTCTCTCTCATCGATGTTTCTAACTCTATCCCTCTCTCTTCCTCTCTGTAAAAAATCAATAAAATATATTAAAAAAAAAAAAAAAATATATATATATATATATATATATATATATATATATATATATAAAATTTATTTATTTATTTTTTACAGAGATGAAGGGTTAGGGTTAGGGTTAGGGTTAGAAACATCCATCAGCTGCTTCCTGCATACTCCCTACTGGGTATGTGCCCACAACAGCGTACATGCCCTTGACTGGAATTGAACCTGGTATCCTTGAATCCACAGGCTGACACTCTATCCACTGAGCCAAACCGATTAAGGCCTGAATAGACTTTTTAGCTAGTATGCATCCATAGTATGTTGATGTGTGTGTGTGTGTGTGTGTGTGTGTGTTTTTGGTCATGTTTTGTTTTTAGATCTCTCAGGTATGGCTTACTTACCACAACTTACAGTTCACTACACTTACTGTATTGTGTGGTATTGCAATTACTTTTTTACAGGCCATCTTTTCCTACTAGACTGAATTGATGGCAGTTATGACTGATGGGACCTAAAGTTCTATCACATACTCAAACTAGAAAGTCTTTATCTACAAGGACTTGTTATAGTGACAACATACTGTAGAGAACTAATAAATGACAGGTAGGGGTAGAGGTGGGGATGAGCTGATTGTGGTATAGAGAGGATAGTGTGGGTAAAGACATGAGAAGTGTTTGGGTATATGAAAAATTGTGTTTTGAATGTAAACTAAGGTTTGGTAGGCACCGAGGAGTCCTGGGCAGTTTTTGAGCCGGAGAATGACCATAGAGTTTGCACAGCTGGTGCTCTGCCAACTGTGATGGAGGGGATTCATCTGAATTACTTGGTGAATAAGTTGGTGAATAGTCTTTGGAACTTGTTTCATGTTTTAGGGTAAATTGTTTAAGTATTGGGACTATCTATGTGTGTCTAACTCTATGTGAAAAAATTGGAACACATAGATTTTATTCTTTCAGTTTCTAATTTTGTTGAAGAAACATTAACACTTTGAATTTATGGGCCTTTGCAAAGCTTTCTATAGGTAAATAGTCCTCCAATTGTATGCAAATTTAGAACAAAAAAGTAAACTGAGTAGCATAGGATTAGTCAGGAAATAATTCTTGGAGGAAGTAATAATAAATATTAATCTTCACCTGAGGATATTTTCCATTGATTTTTTTTTTTTTTTTTTTTTTTTAAGAGAGAGTGAAAGGGAAGGGGAGAGACAGAAAGAAACATCAATGTGAGAGAAATGCATCAGTTGATTGCCTCCCTCAGGCTTTCCAACAGGGCTAAGGATTGAGCCTTCAACTGAGGTACATGTTCGTGACTGGAATTGAACCAGGGACCCTTTGGTCCACTGAGCCAAACCGGCTAGGGCTATTTATTTATTTTATTGTTGACAGTATTACAGATGTCCCCCATCCTCTCAAACCTTTCTCCCCTCCACCCGGACCCTGCCCCAAATCTTCACCACATTATTGTCTGTGTCCATGGGCCTTGTATATATGCATATAATTCTTTGATTACTTTTAGAGGGAAAGAAAGAATAATTCAGTCTTATGGTAGAGCTTGTTTTTTTTAAAATATATATTTTGTTGATTTTTTACAGAGAGGGATAGAGAGTTAGAAACATCGATGAGAGAGAGTTATCGATCAGCTGCCTCTTGCACACCCTCTACTGGGGGTGTGCCTGCAACCAAGGTACATGCCCTTGACCTGAATCGAAACTGGGACCTTCAGTCCACAGGCCAACGCTCTATCCACTGAGCCAAACTGGTTTCGGCTAGAGCTTGTTTTTTGATGCTGGATTAGATGTAGTCCAGGGATAGGCAAATTTTAGTGTTAACATTGAAAAGAGGTGAGGGAAAGTGCTTGCTTGAGATCATAAAATGCAAATAGCGGTATAAGGTTGCCACTTCCTCATTTCACCCAGTGAGTGGTATTCATAATCAGTCTTATTTTCTTCCTCATTCCATTACAAAGGAGTGCCCATTTTAACTATTTATGCTAATTCTTAGCATGTTACTTTGGGTAAAACTGAATTACACATTTCTAATATAATAAAAGGCTAATATGCAAATCAACTGAACAGCAGAACGAGTGGTAGGTTGCTATGATGCGCACTGGCCACCAGGCAGACATTCAACACCGGACTGTCAGTGCACTCCCACAAGGGGAGCACCACTCAGCTGACACACCACTGGTGAGTGCAGTGGCAGTGGCAGGAGCCTCTCTTGCTGCAGGCGGGCAGTAAGGAGCTAGGGGTCCCGGACTGTGAGAGCCACAGACTGCGAGAGGGATGTCTGCCTGTCGGTTTAGGTCCAGGGTGACCAGGACTAAGCCGGCAGGCAGACATCCCTTGAAGGGTCCAGGACTGCAAAAGGGCACAGGCTGGGCTGAGGGGACCCCCCCGCCCCAGGGCACAAATGTCATGCACCAATCCTCTAGTTTCTAAAAAAGATGAATTTGTATGAGTTTGTTATATTTTATATACATTGCATAAAATTTTTGGAATTCCCTGCTGCTGTATCCTCTATTAACAGTCCTGATTTGGATGAGAATGTTGTTTCTACAAGTCTGTGGTTTATTTCTGTTTTCATGTGAAATGAAGCTAGTAAGCCAGAAACATTAATGTGATAGGTAAAGCAAAAGCTTGAATTAATGAAAATGTTCTAGTGGTCAGATAGGAAATACCTAGAAGTCTAAGGAGCAAATTGTGATAACAAGTTGCTACACACTTACTAAATTTTAAACTTAACATTTTGCCTCTACAATTTGTTCATGATCAAAAATGGAAGGGATAAGATAGTTTACATCCTGATATGTTTGATTTTCAAAATACAAAAGAAGGAACTTGATTGAAATATATTCAGAGGGTCTTACTTTTTATCTCCTTCAAAAAGTAGCTTACTATGAATATTTTGACAGTTGTCATTTTAGCAGTAATTTTGGAAACTTTTAATGGAGTATAGTTGCCTGATGTAGTAAGCTGGGGATTATCACTTGGTTTATCTTTTTGGTTCCATGGATTTAAAAAGAGTGGTACTTTCCATTGTTTTGTGGTATGTGTGGAGCCCAGGCCAGTAGCCAACAGCTTTATTGAGAAAACATATTAGTACATGCTATAAAGATCACCTGTTTACAAGATGTACAATTCAGTGTTTCTTATAGAGTTGTGCAGCCAGCACCAAATCCTTATTTGATTTTTATAAAATTTTTATCATCTGAAAAAGAAACCCTGTACCAATTAGTTGACACTCTTTCCTTTTCTTCCCTAACACTAAGCTACTTTCTGTCTCTAGACATTTATAAAAATGGGACACACAACATGAGATCTTTTGTGTCTGGCTTTTTTCACGTGGCATAGTATCATTGAGGTTAATCCATGTTATATATTTCAGTAATTCATTCCTTTTAATTGATGAATCATATTCCATTGTGTAGAATGGAATGTGATTCCATTCTATACTGACTAACTCATTGAACTCTAGACCTTATATCCAACTGCCCACTTGACATCTTCACATAGAAATTTCAGTTTTACATAGTATCTAAAACTGACCTGCCTTGCCCCCTAACCAATTAGCTGTCCTCTCAGTCTCTATGAATCTCAGTTCTCATCTGCCAGTTGCTTAAGCAAAAAACCTTGGAGTTACCCTTGATTCTTCTTTCCATCACATGCCATGTGTGGTCCATCAGCAGATCCAAATCAGCTACTTTATTAAAAAAATACATTTTATTGATCTTTTTTACAGAGAGAGGAAGAGAGAGGGATAGTCAGAAACATCAATGAG